GAGACGAGACCTTCAAATTGAGCGAAAACGAACGGAAGCTCAATGGTGTTGTTATGGATGTCTTTTTGGAGCTCTCTCGGGGTCGTATCGGGGGGTTCTTGGGCCGTCTCGAAGACATCTTGAACCGTTGTGTGGATATAGTTTTTGTTTTGGAGGTGTTTCGGAATAGCAGGCCATCTCGGCCGTCTTGGAGGACGCGTAAAGGGCATCTCGGGCCAGTTTGGCCGTCTTGGCCTCGTCGGGGGCGTTAGTTGCCACCTTTGGGCCGCCGTTCCCTGTGGCCAGCGCAATCGGCCGAGATCCCATTTGCAGTGGTTCTTCAGTTGTTTAAGACATTGACGCGCTTCACACGCCATGCGCCCCTTCGATACATCAGCATAAGGCGGCGGGTCGAACACGCGTGCGGCGAAACACCGCCGCCCCCCGCCTTCTGGAAACGCCCGTGCGGCCAAGTGTTGGGCCGACGTTTGGCCAAGCTATTGGAGCATGTGTTCCCCAGCCATTGTGGAACTCCGTGGGGAACACATGGGAGAGGAAGAGAAAGGAGGAGGATAGTAATGTCAAGGAGGAGGAGGAGGAAACAACATAAGAAGAAGAGAATGCCTATTGAGGCCCTTTTCAGGCCCTCATGAAGGTTCCGTGGGAGCCTTCGGGAGGCCTTTGCGCGGCCTATTGGGGACCTTTCGGGGGCCTGTTTGAGCGTCGGAGGCCCACACGGCGAAAAGGCGAGAAGCGAGAACGCTCAAGTCTTTGGATAACCATGTGGAAAGCAGTTAGTTTGGCCTCATGACGGTCCTCTGGGAGCCTTTTGGACAGTCTTTGAGGCTTGGTGTGCACCTTTTGAGCCGTCTTGGAGTCATCTTGAACCGGCTTGGTGCCATCTTGGCCGGCTTCGAGGTGTATTGCCTACTTGACCGTCGTGGAACCCGTTTTTGATAACATCGTGGGGTCATGCTGGCCGGGCAGAACTTCCAGCTTACATTGTGTCCAGGTGGCCGGCGGGCTGGGCCAGAGGCCGTGGAGGGTCTCTAAAAGGCTCCAACAATCCAGAACGCCAGGCAACCCTCGGCCGGATGGCGATCGGGGGATCAGGACATGGGGGGATGAGTATCCGGTACCGTTTTGTTGTGGTACAATGTGTACCTTCTCTGCGGGTTGCAAGTACAAATTGTACCTTCTCCCCCCGTTAACATCCTCGCACATGTCGCGGACGTTGTCAAAAGTACAATTTGCATCTTGTCTGCGTGGCGTCGGTACAATTGTACCTTCTCCGTGGGGCGTAGGTACAATTTGTACCTCGGTTGCGCCTCTCTCCCCATCTGGACTTATCCCCCCATTTGCATCCCGCCAAATCCCGTTGATGAATGAACAGGAAGCGGCGGATCCCACCGCCGCCCCCTGCCTTTTGGAAGCGCCTATGTGGCCAAACGTTGTGGCCAGAGCTCGGCCACAGTGTCGGACTAACTGCGTGTTCCCCCAGCCGTCGTGGGAACCTTTCGGAGAACATGTGGGGGAGGAAGAGAAAGAGGAGGAGAGGGCGTCTGAGACACTCTGGGGGTCTCCTGGGCGCTTTCCAGAGGCCTCTTGGAGGCTTCCTTGGACCTCTTGGGGGCGGGCGTAGTGCAGTTTCCGTTCGTCTTGGGCGTTCCTGGCCCGTCTGACGTCGTCGGACACCGTTTCGAGGACGTCTTTGGGCCGAGTTGGGGCCCTCCTGGGGCGCAGCAGGGCCATCATGGAGGTCATTATGTGCGTCTTGGAGGTCTCCTGGTCTGTCGTGGGGCCCTCTTGGGGCCGCCTGGGGGCACTCTTGAGCCGTTAGGGGGCCATTTCGGATGCCATTTGGGCGCTCTAGGGGCCGTCTTGGCGGCCTCTTAGGCCGTGCTGAATCGCCAGAAGATAGAAAACAAGCACACGCCACCATCATTTAAACATTTGTAGAAAATGAGTTTGGCCTCCTCGGGCGGGCCTTCCTGGATGTCCTCTTGGAGGCCTCTTGGGCCGTGTTGGAGGCCTCTTGGGCCGTGCCGAACAGTTTTGAGGCCATTGTCGGCCATCTTGGGGGCATCCTGGGCGGTTTTGGAAAGATGGTGGAGCCATCGTGGGCTCTCTTGAAAGCATCGGCGGCGTCCTGGGAGGCGTCTTGGGACAGTATTCGAGGCCATCTTGGCCGTCTTGGGAAGATTTTTTTGGGACGTTGAGGTCTTTATGCAGCCCTGCGGGTGGCCCGCAGTCTAGACCGAGACCCCACTGAAAATTTTTACAGCGAACTCAAGACAGTAAGACATCTAGCGCGCCGTCCACCCTTGTAGCACACCGCAGGTGGCGGCGGATCGAGGAAGCCGACGGTGAATCCCCGCCGCCACCTGCATTTTGGAAGCTCCTATGTGGCCAAACGTTGCGGCCAGAGCTCGGCCAAGCTATCGGACTACGTGTTCCCCAGCCGTTGCGGAACCCCTTCCGAGAACATGTGGGGGAGAACGACGAAGACGAGGAGAGCCAGAAAAAAAAATCGGAGGAGGAGGGGGAGGCCTCTCGGGATTTTTGTTGGGCAATGTTTGTGTTTGTTTGTGAGTTGTTTGGGGCCGTTTGCAGGTCTTTTGGGGGTTTCTTTGGGCCTCTTAGGGGGTTTGGGAGGTTTCCTTGGGAGGCTCGTTGGCTGTTTGGGAGCGTTCCTGGACCGCCTGACGCCGTCGGGAGCCGTCTTGCGGGTCTCTCTGGGCCGACTTGGGGCCTTCCTGGAGCGCTCCAGGGCCATCATGGAGTCCCGTCTTGGAGGTCCCCTGGGCCGCGTTGGGGCCGTCATGGGTGCATTCTTGGGCCGTCAGGTGGCCATTTCGGATGCCTTTTGGGCGCTCTAGGGGCCGTCTTGGTGGCCTTTAGGGCCGTTTGGCCGTCGGACAACGAACACGACGAGCAAGCACCCAAATCCTTCAAACACCCAAGGTCTTCGTGGAGGTTCTCTTGGTCGTCTTGGAAGCATCTTAGCGGCCATCTTGGCCGTCTTGTAACAATATGTTGTGCACGTTGAAGTCTTTACTCAAAATCTGGCACGCCATGCACCCTTGTGTCAAGCCAACAATTGGCGGCGGATCGAAGACGCCTACGATGAATCACCGCCGCCCCCTGCCTTCTAGGACACGCGTATGTGGGCGAACGTTGTGGCCAGAGCTCGGCCAAGCTATCGGACTATGTGTTTCCCAGCCGTTTTGGGAACCTTTCGGGGAGCATTTGGGGGATCAAATTGGAAATTGTCCGTCCTTCCTGGAGGTCCTCTTGGAGGCCTCTCGGGCCGTCTTGGAGAGATTTTGGGGGCTTCTTGGGTAGTCTTGGATGCATTTTGGACAGTCTTGGAGGCAGCATTCGGCTATCGTGGGCTCACTTGGGGCCATCTTGGCAGCCTTGGAGGCCACCGAGGCCGTCTTGGAAAGGATTTTGGGAGATCTACGCGGCGCTGTGCGTCCTTCTGGGTAGCCGGCGGGCTGGGCCCAGACCCCACGGTGAGTTCATTCAACGAGACCCCACAGTTTGCCGAACGTTTGGCACGCCGTGCGCCCGTGTGGCAAGACCACAGGGGGCGGCGGATCGAAGACGCTTGCGGTGAGTCACCGCCGCCCCCATGCCTTTCAGGATACGCATACGTTGCCAAATGTTTGGGCGAAGTTTTGCCACGCTATTGGACCATGCGTTCCCCAGCCGTTGTGGAAACCCTTCGGGGAGCACGTGGAGACGGAAGAGGATGAGGAGAAGGAGCAAGAGGAAACAGGAGAATATGGGGAGAAGGCGGAGGAGGCCTTTTAAGAGCCTCTGGGGCCACTCTTGCGGCCTCCTTGGAGCTTCCTGGGAGCCTTTGGGAGGTCTCTTGGGGGCCTCCTTGGGCCTCTTGGGGGCCTTTGGGGCTTCTTAGGGGGAGCTTTTTGGCTGTCTCACGGCGTTCCTGGCCAGTCTGACGCCGTCGCAAGCCGTTTGGGATGCCTCATGCCTCTCTGAAACGAGTTTGGACCCTCTTGGGGCGCTTCAGGGCCATCCTGGAGACCATCTTGGGCGTTTTGCGGGTCTCTTGGGGTCGTCTTGGAGGCGAGGCTTCTTGGCCGTGATGGGGTGGGGTGATGTTTGGGGAATCTTGGGCCGTCGGAAGGCCGAAAAGAAGTGAATGCCAAATTCTGTTAACAAAAACCTCAGGAGCATCAATGATTCTGGCGTCTTCGGGCCTTCCTGGAGGACCTCTTGGAAGCCTCTTGGGCCACCTTTGGTAGGGGCTCTTGGGCGTGCCCGTCTTGGGCTATCTTGGACCATCTTGGTGGTGGTCTTGGAGGCATCTTGAGACCGTCTTGGAGGCGATGTCGGGGCTATCTTGGGCTCTCTTGGGGCCGTCTTGGAGGTATCTTGGCCGTCAAGGAGGCCATCCTGGGGCCATATTGAGCGGCACGACCGACGAGACACGCACCTCGGCGCGCTGGGCCGAAGCCCCAGGGGAAGTCTCGAAGAAAACCGACAACCATCAGACGTTTAGCACGCAGGGCACCCCTGTGGCAAGACCACAGGGTGTCGGCGAATCTAGTGTCCTTCGGACCCCTTCGCCACCGTGCCTGGGTCGTGCACCAGAGCCTCTTAAAGTCACACTGGGGGAGCTCGTGAACGCTTCTGGAGGGATTCGGACGGGCCTCTCGAAGCTTCTGCGGGCCTTTCGGAAGCCTGGGCATCCTTTGGGTGCCTCTTGGGGGCCTGCTGGCACTCCTGGGAGCCGTCTCGGGGTTTGAGATTCCGAATTCATCTCGGGGCCCTTGTTGGGGCAATGTGTTGGTCTCTCGGGCTTCTCTTGCGGGCGCTAAGCCCGTCTTCGGGTGATCTTTGGGGACTTGGGGCCATAGTTAGGGCTCTCGAAACCGAAATTGATTATTCATACACGGTTGCGTTTGTTATTGATTGTTTTCCTTATGTAAATTCGGCTTCTTGGGCCGTCCCCGAGAGCTTCCAATAATTTCCTGGGGCTCAATGGGAGCATGCTGGAGGCTTCGATTCCGAACCACGCTTCCGAGGCCTCCAGGAAAGTGTCGCCCGTGGAGCGCCCCTTAGAGCGCCCAGCAGCGCCAATGAACCCCACGGATGCGGGATCCAAGGCCCTTCTTGTTTTGTATCGAGTGTTGAGGGGCGACCTTCCTTTCAGTGCTTGTGGCACGTTGGCGGACTTTGATCAGTTTGTCTTGTCACAAGATAGTTGGGCGAAGGTCACGCGCGACGATAAGCCAACTCGATTGGGTTCTATGTCTGAAGACAGTTGCGTTGCGATGTGCGATGAAAGGTCAATGGACGTTTGTGCAGGTGTGTCGTGGGACTCCGAAACGCAGAGCTGCTTCGTGTTTACAACGGTTCCGATACATCGACTTCTTCAACAGCCGGAACGTGACGCCGCAGGTCTTCGCAATCCGCACAAGTTACGCATCAAGACGATGCCGTCGTCAACTAAGTTTTCCGACAACGAGTTGTGCCGATTGTAGCCCATCGTTGATTCCGGGAGGCTAGCTTGCATCGGGAGGTTAATCGAGGCATACAGGATTCGGAAAGCCCTATGAATTTCAATTATGACGCACATCGCGATACGTCGTCATGGAAATGTATAGCCATCAGTGTCAAGACCATCCCCATTTCCACGGTAGCACACTGCAGATCTATCGCTCCATGTGCGGTCTTCACACGGTAGGGGATAATCAGGGCCAACCAGTCGGGACAGCCGAAATTGAGTCGACATTGCATCAGTTCGCGATCGGGGCAGCAGCTAAGAGCGATGGGTGCGCAATCGGGAGGCCAGCGGGCAGCATCGGGAGACAGACAAACCGCAGTCGGAATGCAGTCGGGGCATCGTTGGGACGCCATCGGCACGGCGGAGCACCGCCAGACAGCAAGCCTTCTGTTGCCAGGCTGGAGCACGAGAGGAGCAGCAGAGGCCCACATGGGCAACAAAGATAGAAGGGACCGGCTGCTGCAGGAGACTGATTTGAGGCGGCCTGAGACGCGTATTGGCAAGCTTGCCCCCCCTTCCGTGAAAATCCCCTCGCTTTGTTCCAAGACCAAGGGCTCCTTCGAGGGCGCGAAGCTATTCGCGTTTCGCGGTTCCGCTCCGATTCTTTCTCATCTTCTTTGTCTCCCCTAGGGGACGCCGCGAGAGCGCGAAGTGGTTCGCGCTTCGCGCAGCACGAAGCGCGAACTTAGGAGCCCGTGCGTACTAGCAAACCAGCCCCTTCCATGACGACCCCCTCGCCTCGTTCCGAGGCGTGGGCAGGCGGCCAGAGGGAGTTTCCAGGCTGAGGGGGTCGTCGTGGACGGGGCTCGTCACGGAGGAACGGGCCGGTGAAGCAGCAGCAGGAGCCGAGGTGCAGCAGCAGGAGGAGCCGATGTGCAATCGGCACTGGCGCACACTTTCGCGCACGCTTCGCACGCCCAGCCCAGTAGGCGACCTCTTGTGAACCCTTATTGCACCTGCGGGTCTACTCTACGCTGGGGTATCGGACACTCCCTCTTTCAGAAGAGGAAAAGGTACCCATACCTCTACCCTCCCCTCGTGTCCCCCTTTTTGGGCATCCTGGGAGGCCCTCGTCGCCACCGCTGGATTCGCCTCGAAATCCTGGTCAGAACGCACCCCGGGAGAGGTCCTGGGAGTAGCGGTATCGGTACCTTTTTGTTTGTTTCCTCACTCTTGGGTTCACTTGGCTGCAGGCATCCTCCAAATCCGAAACCTGACCTGCAGGGACCCAGAATTTTGATTTCTCGGCAGCGAAAGCGCGATTATCGAATTCCCGGAAGATTGGGGCCGGGGATGCGTCGTATTATGTTCCCCGCGGCGAGTCTTCGAAGATGAGGATGATGAGTTGGAGAAAGAAACGATACGGGTCAAACGGCTCCGAGCCTGTGAGAAAGCAGGAGGGGGACGATGACGAGGACGCGAACCATGGCGATGGGGGACGAGGGCGAGGACGAGGAGGAGCGGAAGGAGGACGATGAGGACGAGGAAGACAAGGAGAGGAAAGACGAGGATAAGGTCTCTGGCTGCCAGCAGAGGCCCACGAAAACCGTGTGCTATAGTTGATTATGTTCATACGTAATTAGACAGTTATATATGTGTGTAAACGTAGCACCCCGCAGATGCGGATAAGAGTGAGGGGGCGGTGGGACGTCGGCAGTCTGCGAGACTCTGGAGAAGCCCGCCACAGGCGCCAAAAATTAACAAATTATGCAAGGAGCCCGCCGCAGGCGCCGAATTTCTCTTCAAACCAGTGTGGACCCGTCGCGGGTGGGTCGCGAGTCGGTCGCGGGTGGGTCGCGGGATGGGTTGCAGGATGGGTCGCGGGTGGGTCGCAAGTGGGTCGCGGGTGGGTCGCGGGTGGGTCGCGGGGTGGGTCGCGGGTGGGTCGCGGGTTGGGTCGCGGGGTGGGTCGCGGGGTGGGCCGCGGGGTGGGTCGCGGGGTAGGTTGCGGGGTGGGTCGCGGAGTGGGTCGTGGGTGGGTCGCCGGCTGGACGACGACAACAAACAACAACAACAATCATTTTGAGATTGTTCGCCCATTTCTGCTCGAGTGCCCAATAACGCGTATTTTCCAAACCCTCGATGCCCACCCTCTTCGTCTTCGATCGAACCCCTTTTGGGGGGTATACCTTTCTTCCCTGCAGGCCGGGCCCTGGCAAGCGGCGGTGCGGCCGCGGATTGTCGGCCTGGCTAGCGACAGCGCTGATCGGTGGGGCGGCCGCGGACCGTCGACCCGACCCCAAGAGGGACGGACAGGGGACCGACGACGACGACGACGTCGACGACGACGGCGAAGACGACGACGGTGACGACGAACGAAAGCGAAAGCGAGAGAGAACGACAGCAGGGCCACGAAGGACACGAAGTAGGCCACGAAGTGGGCCACGAAGAGCGACAGCAGGGACACGAAGGGAATGCGTATGGGGCCACGAAGAGCGCGAACGAGCGGGGGCCACGAAGGGCAGATAATGCGGGGCCACAGGAGGCAACGATTGGGCCACAGAGGGCAGCAACTGGGCCACGTAGGACAGTGAGGGGGCCACAAACGGCGACAACGGGGCCACGAAGGGCATGCACATGGGGCCACAACGGGCGCAAGTCCTGGGTGCATGGGTGTCGGGAGCGCGGCGCTTGAGCAACTTGCAGGACATTCCAACGCAAGGGCGTTATTCTTCAGTAAATTGCAGGCAGGTTTCCAGCGAGAGCGCGACTCCAGAGCGCCAAGCAAGAGCGCGATTCTTGAATCAAATGCGAGAAAGTCTCGGGCGGGAGCGGGGGTCCTGGTTAAATTGTGAAGAAGTCTCAGGCGGGAGCCGTTGTTGTTGCAACCCATGGGGCCAAGGGCGCAGTTTGAGCATCAAGACTTTCCTTATCAAAACAGGGTGCGAACGTCGAGGGGCACATTTTGATTGAGAAAAAAAACGATCTGCACCGGTGAGGGGGGATCGTCAATAAGTATTCTTCAGAAGTGAGAGTTCAACGCAACAAGCATAATCTTCAACACGGATTTCCATTCCAGCCACGCACGCAATGGCCCAAGGACCATGAATGACCGTTCGGCCCCCTCACTCAAATTGTTATTTTTATATATAAATATATATGTGTGTGTCAGTGTGTGTGTGTGTGTGTGTGCGTGCGTGCGTGCGTGCGTGCGTGCGTGCACGCGTGCGTGCGCGCGTGCGTGTGTGTGTGTGGTGTGTGTGTGGTGTGTGTGTGTGTGTTTGTGAGTGTGTGTGTGTGTGTGAATGTGTCTGTGTGTGTACGTTTATGTGTGTGCGTGCGTGCGTGCATGCGTGCACGCGTGCATGCGTGCACGCGTGCGTGCGTGTGTGTGAATCTGTGTACGTGTGTGTGTGTGGTGTGTGTGTGTGTGTCTGTGTCTGTGTCTGTGTCTGTGTCTGTGTCTGTGTGTGCGTGTGTGTGTGTGTGTGGTGTGTGTGTGTGTGTGTGTGTGTGTGTGTGCGCGTGTGCGCGTCTGCGCGTCTGCGCGTCTGCGTCTGCGTCTGCGTCTGCGTCTGCGTCTGCCTCTGCCTCTGCCTCTGCCTCTGCCTCTGCCTCTGCCTCTGCCTCTGCCTCTGCGTGTGCGTGTGCGTGTGCGTGTGCGTGTGCGCGTGCGTGCGTGTGTGCGTGCATGTGTGCGGCGTGTGTGCGTGCGTGCGTGCGTGCGTGCGTGCGTGCGTGCGTGCGTGCGTGCGTGCGTGCGTGCGTGCGTGCGTGCGTGCGTGCGTGCGTGTGTGCGTGTGTGTGTGTGTGTGTGTGTGTGTGTGTGTGTGTGTGTGTGTGTGTGTGTGTGTGGTGTGTGTGTGTGTGTGTGTGTGTGTGTGTGTGTGTGTGTGTGTGTGTGTGGTGTGTGTGTGTGTGTGTGCGTGCGTGCGTGCGTGCGTGCGTGCGTGCGTGCGTGCGTGCGTGCGTGCGTGCGTGCGTGTGTGTGTGTGTGTGTGTGTGCGTGTGTGTGTGTGTGTGGTGTGTGTGTGTGTGTATGTGTGTGTGCGTGTGTGGGGGGGGTGGGGGGGGGAGGGGGGGGGCGGGGGGGAGGTACAGGGCCTGGGGGCTCCTCAAGCTGCCTCGACTCGCCATGGAGGCTCCAGGCTCCCCGGGTGCCCTCTCCAGCGGCCCGAGAGCTGCCCAGACGGCTTTACGTGGCGACGCAGTGACACCAGAAGGCTGCGAGATGTCCCGCGGGGTTTCCGGGCAGCCCCAGATAGCTTCAATACGGTCCAAGAAGACTCGACTTTCGCTCCCACAGGGCCCCAAGAGGCCAAAACCATTGATTCACCATTTGTTTTTCAATGTTTTTGGGCTTCTCGACTTTTTAGCTTCCGACGCTCCACGACGTCCCACGAGGCCTCCAAAACCGCCCCAAGACCGCCCCAAGACGGGCCAAGAGAGTGCCAACCCAGCCCCACGAGGGGCCCAAGACGGCCCAAGAGGGCCCCAAGATGGCCCCAAGAGGGGCCCGCGAGCAGGAGACCGAAAGGCATTTCGAGCCTTCGTACCAAAGAGCCCCCAGACGGCCCAAAGGTTTTCCAATGCTTTCGGGCCTCTCGATTTTGTCCAGCTTCCAGCGCTCCACGACGTCTCAAGAGGCTCCCAAGACCGTTCCGAGACGGACCGCCCAGAGGCCCCCAATAGCGCCCAAAGACGGCCCAAGGAGGCCCCGAGCGGCGTCAGACGCGCCCAAGACGTCCCAACGCGGTCCCAAGAGGGAGACCCTCGGGGCTGCCCAAGAGGAACCCGCGAGGGTCCCAGGACGGCCCAAGAGAACCCCTAGACGGCCCTAGATACGCCCAGGACACCCCAAGAGAGCTCCGAGACGGCCCCCAGAGTGCCAGAAATTTAACATTACTTTAACACAAATTTAACACAAGCCGCTTCGTCGTCGAGGACGGTGTTGTGTTAAATTTGTGTTCAATTGTTGTTGCTCCGGGGGCGCTCTTGGATCTCCCTTGGCGTCCCTTTGTGCTCTCCCATGGTGCC